TCTTTCTCCTTCTCTCCTTTTCTCCTTCTCTCTTTTTCTCTTCTCTCTTTCTCCTTCTCTTCTTTCTCCTTCTCTTCTCTCTTCCTTCTCTTTCCATTTTTCACCCTTTAAGTCATCTAGAAAGAGTGCAGGCCTCCCCCCCAACTGTGGTGTATGACGGAACCCCTATGGGGCTCCTGTCACCCCACCACCCACCCGTCAGCATATGCACAGGGCCACATTTAATAGGAGTTAGGTTGCACGGCCCATGCCATGTCCTCTAACCTTGACTGATATGTAACCCTTCCTACACTTCAGCATAGTATGTTAACTATAAGCAACTTTTTGACATTGCTGTATTTTTCTGTCATTCATGTACCCCTGTGTGGGTGAATCACTTCAATGTATTACATTTTGAATAATATCTTTACTATTGCTTACATATTGTATGTCCTAAAGCCTTTTCAATAAAAGCTTTTTGGTGCCATAAAATTTCAAAAAAAATTGTCATCTGAGGTTTTGATCTTGCCATCACTGAGTCAGTTCATTTTGTTCAAAAGCCTTTAAAATTTTGTCGAGACCTGCTACTTGAAAGGAATTCTAGACTGCACCTTTTGTGCTTAGAACATGTACAATTTTTGCGAACCAAAACTGAAATTCACAGTTAGAATTATCTTTGTTTGGGAAAACATTTTCTATTCTGCTCTTTCAAATTTTCTCATCACAACAATCAGAACCATTTGTTGATTTAACCCCAAACTCTATTGGGAACATTCTGAAAATGAAATTTTTTTATGAAATTCTGCTACTGGATGGCCATCATTAGTTAAAATGTGTGTTGAGCATTCCCAATCCCCTCCTGTACTTCAGTATTGGTTACTATGTTCATCCAACTAGATTAAAAGGTATGTGCTCTTTAAGTGCACTTACTGTATATTTACTGTATTGTAACAGGATATACTTTCCTTACCTTAAAACTTAAAGCCGAACTTCACCAAAAAGGGGAAGTTCTGTTTTTCCCACTCCATTCCTCCCCCCATACATACATTTTTTAACTTTTTTTTTTTTAAGTGGTACTTTTTATCCTAAGTAGATACCTAGTTTTTGTAGGTACCCACTTCCATTTGGATCGCCTAGGCGACCCGGAGTGGGAGTTCGGAACCCTTTCTTTGCCCGCAGCCTTCTGGAACACGTCACAGGCCCCTGGAGGCTGTGGGACCATTCACAAAGTGCAGCATGGCTTGCGTGTGTGCAGTGGGAAGTCACAAGGAGTCACAGCTGAGTTCCCTTAGTAAACATGCTGGCACCAGAATCCCGAAGATCAGTGAAGAACCAGCTTGGGTGAGGACAGGGCTTTATCCCTGGACAGGTAACCCATAAGAAAGAAAAATATTTTTAAATATATATTTTAAAAATATTTTCCCAATTATATTGACAAATATTTGAAATGCTACAATTTTGGCCATATTCAATATATTTCAATATATATTTCAATATATAATATATACTGTATGTTGAAATGCGTTTTTATTACAAAGTATAAAAATGTTTTTAAACATACATATGCTGCATGTCTTTAAAAATACAAATCTACATTTTTGGAATGCATTTACAAATATATGTAAAATATATGTTAAAATTACTTTTTTATATGTTAAAAAAAAAATATGAATATATTTAAAAAATATATATTTGTCCCTATATGTCCAATACAGTATTTGTTTCTGCTGACTTTTAATTTTTTTTTGGGGGGGGCGGGCAGAAGTTCCTCTTTGACTATTAATATTTTACATATCTATGTTATATTCCAAAGATGCCAAGGGAGAGGATGTTATATTCCGAAGATGCCGGGGGAGAGAGGATGTTGCCCTACTATACAGATCTGTGCACTAAAAGTACACTTATCCTTTAGGCTCGGTTCACACTGCTCACTGCTCCGACTTGGGATCCAACGTGTGAGACCCATGTTAGTCAATGAGAGCCGTCTTAATTAGCACTACTGAAGTCACTCCGACTTTAGAAAAGGTTCCTGTACCACTGTAAGGCGACTTCCATCCGACTTGTGCCCATAAACTTTAATGGAAGTTGCCTCCAAGTCGGATACTCATCTATACTGATGTGATTTGGTTCCGACATTACATCCCTGGACAGATAAGTGTCCTTTTATTAAAAGTCATCAGATACAGTATTTGCATCTGCTGGCTTTAAAAAAATTTTTTGGGGGGGGGCTGGAGATCCTCTTTGACTATTAAAATATCTATATTATATTCCGAAGATGCCGGGGGGAAAGCATGTTGCCCTACTATAAAGACCTGTGCTAAAAGTACACTTATCCTTTAGGCTCAGTTCACACTGCCCTGACTTGGGATCCAACTTGTGAGACCCCAAGTCTCATGACATTCGAAATCCCATGTTAGTCAATGAGCGCCATCTTAATTAGCACTACTGAAGTCACTCTGACTTTAGAAAAGGTTCCTTTACTATTTCAAGGCGACTGCCATCCGACTTGTGCCCATAGACTTTAATGGAAGTTGGCTCCAAGTCGGATCCTCATCTAAATTGATGTGATTTGGATCCAACATTACATCCCTGGACAGATAAGTGTCATTTTTTTAAAAGTCATCAGATACAGTATTTGTATCTGCTGACTTTAATTTTTTTTTTTTTGGGGGGGGGGGGGGGCTGAAGATCCTCTTTGACTATTAACATTTAACATATCTATATTATATTTCGAAGATGCTGGGGGAAAGCATGTTGCCCTACTATAAAGACTTGTGCACTAAAAGTGCACTTATCCTTTAGGCTCGGTTCACACTGCCTCGACTAGGGATCCGACTTGTGAGATTGCAAGTCGCATGACGTGTGCAATACCATGTTAGTCAATGAGAGCCATCTTAATTAGCACTGCTGAAGTCGCTCCAACTTTAGAAAAGGTTCCTGTACTATTTCAAGGTGACTTCCATCCGACTTGTGACCATAGACTTAATGGAAGTTGCCTCCAAGTCGGATCCTCCTCTAGATAGATGTGATTTGGATCCAACATTACTGGAAGATTACCAAAGTAATCAGAGTAACGCAAAGTCGCATCAATGTCGTACTCAAGTCGCCAGCAAATCGCCAGGAAGTCGCCTGGCAAAGTCACATGGTAAGTCACACGACTTTCAGGGCACAGTAGTGTGAACCGAGCCTCAAACAGCAATAGTGAGGTGCAGGAGGCTGAAGGCCAACCCTCGACTATTGGGTTTTGGGGGCTATCAGAGTAATCAGGAAGAGACTGGGAGGTTGGTGCCTTCTTTCTATCCATGGTGCCACTTTGCACTGTTTTTATTTCAAAGTGGTATTCAATTATAAGAAGCATACTTATAAATGTTGTTATAGAAAATAACAAAAATGACATATTATTGTAAATGTAGCTTACGGGAAGCTGAAAACATGTACTATCACTTTAATATAACTGGGCAGGGAGGTTTGGTTTACATTCATATGAGCAGCTGAGCAAATCAGATATCCTTCGGGCTTAAAGAGAGTTTCTGGCTCCCCTGAGCTAGTGCTTTCCCTCAGCTGTATCTGACCTTCTTACAACTGGCTAAGCTGACAATCACCTGATAGCTTTGTACAGAATTCCCTACGGCTCAGCCTTCACTGCCAGTTTATACAGTTCTTCTGGCTCAGTGTAATACCATCTCCTCTGTGTAAGGAATTGGGTTATTCTGTGAACTGAGGCTTGCACTGTAAATTCATAGGAGTCTATAAAACAAAACAAAAAAAATTCTGCCTGTTTGAATGTATGCAAGCATCAGTAAAGAAGATGGCAACATAGAGATTTCACCCTGTTTTTTTTTAAAGGAAAATTTTGCTGACCAATATTTTTATCTAAATAACCACATAAAAAACAAAGACAAAAAACGATATGAACTAAATTAAAATTTTTAAATAAATGAAATGACACAATAATACAAAACAAAATATTAAAATAATAAATACTATTTCAGTATGTTATACTGTAGCAAGTCTGAACCGAAAACAAAAATCATTATCCCGTGAACCAAGATGTTATTTTCTTTCTGTTTCCTGCATTAAAATGATCCCTATTTTCTCACAAAGACCATAAATTGGGATGAGCAAAGAAAATGTATCATTCTGGGTATTTTGTTTAGGAAATCAACTAACTTTTAGTTTATTTAGTTTTTTTTTGTGTTATGGTATTTCAGTGTGTGTGTTAGGGCTCATTCAAATGAGTGATTAGCTCTGTGCAGCGTGAAGAGCCGTTTACTTTTTTCTACTAGCGCTGAGCTGCATGCAGGCAGCCCATGAAGAGTGAATGGATATGCATGGGCTGTATAGACTCAACCAAACAGCTGAGTTTAACACAGACCATGTGAGCCCTTATTGTTGTTTGGTTACTGTTGATTTTATTTATTTTTTCTCTCACTGTAAGTTTTCTTCTGTCTGTGAAAAAAAAATTAGAAAAAAAATAATAATAATGAGAATAAATAATAATGAGATTATTAACATAATAATAATCATAAGAATAAATATTAAATTAATAAATAATAATGAGAATATTGAGAAAAATGAGAGGCCTGATTTTGGCACAAGAACAAGTCCCAGATAGCTGAAACAAGTTTCTGTCACTCACAAGAGATATTAGAGACCTAAATCCCCCTAAACCCCACTTCCATTCCGCCTTCGCCATTGCATTGACTTCTCCTTGCTTGGACACGGGTCTGGTATGGATTATGGGGGGGGGGGGCCCCCACGCCTTTTTTTTTTTTTTAGATTTTGCTGTGGGGTTCCCCTCAAAATTCATACCAGACCTTGGGGTTTGATACGGATTTTGGGGTGGGACCCCATGCTGTTTTTTTGGGTTTTTTTAATTTTGGCATGGGATTCCCCTTAACTGCTTCCCGTCCGCCCTATAGCAGAAATACTTCTACAGGGTGGCACAGGTGCTCTAAATCATGTGTGTATATATGTGTGATTTTGTAGTTCTGGGTAGGGGGTGCGTGTGCCCTACCCATGCCACCATTTGCGGCCTGAGCTGTCAATCACCGGGTCCCAACCGGTGATTACTCGCCAGCAACCGGTGATCACGGTATTACTGATGGGGGAGAAAACTGTATGTAAACAATACAGTTCTCTTCCCTGTCAACTCCTGCACGCTGCTTTGTATGGCTCTGCTATGCAGTGTGCTTACAGTTGAAAGCACACACAGCACATAATTTGAAACAGCACACAGTTAACCCATTGATCATCCCTCATGTTAACCCCTTCCTGCACAATGCCATTAGTGTCAGAATGCCCACCACTTGTAAATGCTATAACTTTCACGTAAACCAATTAATTTACACATATTGGGATTTTTTTTTTTGCAAAGACATGTAGCAGAATACATTTTGGTGTAAATTTATGACTACATTTGATTTTTTTTATTGGACATGTTTAACCACTTGCCTACCAGGCACTTATACCCCCTTCCTTACCAGGCCAATTTTCAGCTTTCAGCGCTGCCGCACTTTGATTGACAATTGCGCGGTCATGCAACATTGTACCCATATGAAATTTTGATCATTTTTTTCTCACAAATAGAGCTTTCTTTTGGTGGTATTTAATCGCCACTGGGCATTTTACTTTTTGCGCTATAAATTAAAAAAAGTGCAAAAAATTTGAAAAAAAAAAAAGTTTATTTGTTTCTTTTATAAAATTTTTCAAACAGGTATTTTTTCTCCTTCACTGATTTGTGTTGATGAGGCGGCACTGATGGGCACTGATAGGCGGCACTGATGGGCACTGATAGGCAGCACTAAAGGGCACTGATAGGCAGTACTAATGAGGTGGCACGGATAGGCGGCACTGATAGACAGCACTAATTAGGGGTCACGGATAGGCGGCACTGATATGCAGCACTGATAGGCGGCACTGATAGGTGACACTGATGATGGGTACTGATAGACGGCACTGACTGGCATCACTTCTGGGCACTGACTGGCGGCACTGACTGGCACAACCCCTGGGCACTGACTGGTGGCACTGACTGGCAGCACTGCTGGGCTGCACTGGTGGGTGGCACTGGTGGGCAGCACTGGTGGGTGGGCACAGGTGGGTGGCACTGGTGGGCACAGGTGGGTGGCACTGGTGGGCACAGGTGGGTGGGCACAGGTGGGTGGCACTGCTGGGCACATGTAGGTGGCACTTCTGGGCACAGGTAGGTGGTACTGCAGAGTGGCACAGGTGGGTGCACTGCTGGGCACAGGTGGGGGCACTGCTGGGCACAGGTGGGGGCACTGCTGGGAACGGGTGGGGCGGGGCTAGTGGGCGCACTGCTGAGCGGAACTTGCGGGTGTCACTGCTGGGCACCGATCATCAGGGCACTGATCATCAGTGCCCTGATGATCGGTGCCGATCCCCGCTCTGACAACTGCCGGTTCTCGGCAGTACTTTCCTCACGATCTGACAGCGTGAGGAAAGTGCAGCCGAGAACCGGCACTTGCATTTCCCTGTGATCAGCGTGTCATTGGACACCGCTGATCACGTGGTAAAAGGCCGGTGGGATTGGCCTTTCACCACATCACGTGATCAGCTGTGTCCGTAGGACACAGCGATCACGGAGATCGCCGGGTGCGCGCCCCCTGGGGCGCGCAGGAGAGCGCGTTCTGGGAGGACGTCATATGACGTCCACTCAGAACTGGCCGGCCGCGGTGAAGCCGTCATTCGGCTATGCGCGGTCGGCAAGAGGTTAATAGCAAAAAGTAAAAAAAAATTTTTTTTTTCTCAAAATTGTCGGGCTTTTTTTGTTTATAGCACCAAAAATTAAAAATGCATGGGTGATCAAATACCACCGAAATAAAGCTCTATTTGTGGGGAAAAAAGGACAGAAATTGCATTTGGGTGCAGCATTACATGACCGCGCAAATTGTCAGTTAAAGTAATGCAGCGCTGTAACGCAAAAAATGGTCTGGTCAGGAAGGGGGGTAAATCCTCAGGAGGGCAAGTGGTTAAAATCCATACCAGACTTGAAGGGCCTCGTAACGACTAGGGGGAGCCCCACGCAGGTTTTTTTTTTTTTTTCTTGTTTTACTTTATAATGCTAGCATTCTTTTGTTTGCAATCAGCTGTCAGTGGGGAACCCCCCTGACAGCTAAAGAGTTATCAGTTGTTAAGTACGTGCCTCCCGCTCCTTAACAAACTGTTATTCACTGGAGAGAAGGGGAGAAGCAGAAGGAGGATTCCCAGCTGGATTTGCATCGATGTGAACGCATGATTGAAATTTCAATATGGTCCCATTGAAGTCTATGGAGTTAAATTTGCACTGCACTGCACTATACTCGCACAGGACCCTTTTTTTAACCAGATCAGAATCACACCACATTTATATGAACGACCTTCATACAAAACAATTTTTTCTCAGATGACATGTGAATCTATTAGTATCAGTGTGAAAATGAATTAGTTTTATTGTATTGACTATCCATGAGATTTTTCCACTTGCTTGATAGACAGTGTGATTTACAGGTGTATACCATACATTCGCCTTATAATACAATTGCATGGGGGGCCCATAGGAATTTAGCTATGTGTTGCATGTATAGTATATTTTATCTGAGGTGTTAGGCAACTAAATGTTCCATTCTTGAAATACTCCCATGCACGCTATAAGTGTTTGCATGTGCCATTTATGTCTATAGGCGGCTGTGCCTGGCCGGGGGAAACATGCTGGAATCTACACAGCACAGGTTCATGACGCCTGTGTGCAAGATAAGGCTGAACTCCAGGCAAGCAGCTAAATACACAGATGAAGTACTCTACATACAGTATGTAGTAGCTGTTGTACCTGTAAAATATTTTTTATTTTTGTCCAGGCCTGAGATTTCCACAGCTCTGACACATAACACAGTCCTGTCTATATTGTGATATTACTCAGCTGCAGTTAAGTAACTCTTGCCCAGCCCCAGCCTCTGTTTGGGGAGTGAAAGGAGAAGCGCAGACTGAAGACCTCTGTCAATACACTGATTCGCTTCCTGCGCTGATTCTAAAGTTAGGTGTTAGTTGGGTTCTAACAGCTTAACTGCTTCCCTGCCACCCTATAGCAGAAGTACTGCTACAGGGCAGCAGGGCTGCGCAAAATCACATATATACGTGCGTTGCATTTCTAGGTATGGAGTGTGAGCGCATGCCACCCTATCCGCGCCGCCATCAATCACCAGGTCCTGGCCAGAGATTCCCTGCTGGCACTCAGCAATCATCAGGGAAAGCTGACAGGGGAGAGACCTGTGTGTAAACAACACAGGTCTCTCTCCTGCCAGCAAGGACATGCTGCTTTGTATTTTTCTGCACAGCAACAGCATGTCATCCTAGTAAAGCATACACAGCACACAGTAAAACGTACACAGTTAACCCTTTGATGGCCTCATATGTTAACCCCTTCCTGCCCATTGTCATTAGTACAGTGCCAGTGCTTTTATTAGCACTGATCACTGTATTAGTGTCACTGGGGATGCTAGTGGCAGTTAGTCAGTTCCCCCAGTGTCAGAATGCTCGCCGCAGTCTCGCTATAAGAACACCACCCTTGCTAGTATAAAAAAAAAAAAATTCCAGTATATATACCGCCATTTGTAGACGCTGTAACTTTCACATAAACCAATTCATTTACACGTATTGGGATTTTTTTTTTCTTTAGCAAAGACATGTCGCAGAATACATTTTGGCCTAAATTTATGAAGAAATTAGATTTTTTTAATTTTTTTTACTGGACATGTTTAATAGCAAAAAAATATTTTTTTTTATTTTTCAAAATTGTTGCTCTTTTTTTTGTTTATAGCGCAAAAAATAAAAATGCAGAGGTGATTAAATACCACCAAAAGAATGCTCTATTTGTGGGAACAAAATAGTGTACATTCCATTTGGGTGCAGCGCTGTATGACTGCGCAATTGTCAGTTAAAGTAACGCAGCGCCGTACCGCAAAAAATGTCCTGATCAGGAAGGGGGGTAAATCCTTTGGAGGGAAAGTGGTTAAATAACAGTTCCTTCCCCACCGACTTCTGTTTGTAAACAAAGTGGCTGAAGGATCACAGGGGATGTCATATACGGTCATAGTGCCCTTCCTTAGATGAGGCCCTTATCCTCATTAACATGCCCCCCCCCCAATCCCCAGGCAAGGTACCTTCCCAATGTCAATATGGCCTGATATGGCTCATGAGTTAGAGGGGTGCATTCTCACTTCCACTTCCCTTTCCTTGCCATCCAGGATGCATGTCTGATTAAGGCTCCATGCACACGGGGCATTTTAAGAAAGCTGGTAACATTAGCTGTGTGAAGTCACGTTAAAAATGTGAGTTTTTCAGAATTTGTTTGCGTTTTTGTATTAGCGTTTAGCAGTGTTTTTCAAGTTTTTTCACGTTTGTGTTTTTTAGAATTTTTTAGGGTTTTTTGACCACAAAAAACGTTTTTAAAAAAATACCGCATTTTACAGCTAAAAAAAACTCCTTTAGAAACCCACTAGTTCTGGGTTTTTTTCCAGCCAAAAACGCCCCTGCCAAACAACGTTGATTACAGTCTGTGTGTGCATGGATACATAGGATAACATGCTGGGGGGTTTACTGGCTGTAGAAAAAAAAACATGAAAAGCCAAAAATAGCAGCTGTCCAGTGTACATGAGGACTAAGGGTGTAGTATAGTCCTCTTTTAAATCCATACTAGTCTCCTATAAGTACCTTTAAAAAAAAATAGCCTGGAAAGGGTCTGGTGTGGATTTTTAGGGGGACTCATGCAAAAAAAAATGGCCTAGGGTGCTCCTAAAAATCCATACCAGACTTTTATCCAGGAATTTGATTATTTTTTTTAACAGGTATGTATACAGTACATACAATTTTACACCTCAGGGAGCTTACAATCTAAAATCCCTATCACACATGCATATACATATGAACGCCAATGTGGAAAGGAGCCAATTAAGGAGAAAAATGCAATAGTGTACTGACTAGGAGTTTAACCAGAAAACTGAGCAGAAAAAGGAGGGCAGTGAGTGTGTGTCCCATCCCCTCCCATCGCAAATGACAACTCCTCAACAGATGACTATGAGCAAACAGGCAAGGAAACCTAGGTGGCATCATTGAAAAAATATTGTCATGATCATATTTGGTTTATGATATCATCCAGGATGCCTGCCAGCTTGTTTACGTCGTAAAACTATTAAAACAAGCTGGTAGGTGGACAGCCGGAAGCTGTCATTTGGTGGCAGTAGTAATACCACCACTGAGCGGAGGTGGGGCAAAAAGGGCAAATCTTTAAACAAGTCATTTATCTATGTAGCTGTAGGCATTGTGGAAAACTCTTTAAAGTGATTTTATGTCCTTGTTCAGACTTTACGGTTGACACGGACCTAAAGCTCATTCCTAGTGGCAGGCCGCCAAAATTCTGTTGCAATGCAAGTAATAGGAAAGAACTAAGTGCCTGTGTTGTGAACCTTAAATATGGATTTCTTCACAATGCCTACAGCCACAGAGGTGAATTTCTTGTTTAAAATTCTTTTACTCCTTGTTCTGAATATGAAAATACTTTAGTGTGCAAAGAGTGGGTACAGGTTCACGTTAAGTGATTCCCTTGTTACCTCTGAAGATTAATTGCTCCACAGTACTTGCAACTCCACTGGAGGTCAGTAAAGGCTTTCTTTAAAGCTCCCTTAATGCTTGTTAAGAATACATAAATATTGAATCTCCATAGTCTGGCCGCAGGTTCACTTCAAAGAAACAATGTCACTTTGCCTATTCAGAGCAAACTACCTGTCTCTTTAAAATGTATTTAAATCCCATTTTGTTTTTGCTTGTTTTTTTGGATTGAGTGGTGAAAGCCTTAGAGACCCTGCAAGGTTTTTGCTGCTGTTGTCTTACACAGGGTTAATGCCATGTAACCCATCTTATATAAAATTGTTAGTGCCTGATAATTTGCTGCTAGGTCTGAGCACTGCATCATTCTATGACTTTTTCAATCATGGCTGTAAAAAAGCTGTGGATTAGAATGTCAGAATTATGATTATAGCCTGACAACTAGAATTTTTTGAAAGATGGGCCAGCAATGGTACTCTATGTTCTGTCAGTACAATTTTTTTGTAAATGAAGTTATCAGAGCTGGTGTTACATTACATTACTGTTACAACACATTACTGAACATTTTACATACAGCCCAGTCATTTTGATGGGCTTGAGATGGGAAGGACCAAAAAGACAGAAATCTGTTCAGTGAAAACCAAAACTATTATTCTTTTTGGTTGTTCCTGTTCTAACCCTGGGCTGGTGCATGCATAGCCTTTAAAAGGGCCCTGTGTTGGGTTTTATTCACAAAAATAAATGCAAATGTATAATTCCATGTTACAGTCAGGTCCATAAATGTTGGGACATCAACACAATTCTAATATTTTTGGCTCTATACACCACCACAATGGATTTGAAATGAAACAAGATGTGCTTTATCTGCAAACTGTCAGCTTTAATTTGAGGGTATTTACCTCCAAATCAGGTGAACGGTGTAGGAATTACAACAGTTTGCATATGTGCCTTCCACTTGTTAAGGGACCAAAAGTAATGGGACAATTGGCTTCTCAGCTGTTCCATGGCCAGGTGTGTGTTATTCCCTCATTATCCCAATTACAATGAGCAGATAAAAGGTCCAGAGTTCATTTCAAGTGTGCTATTTGCATTTGGAATCTGTTGCTGTCAACTCTCAAGATGAGATCCAAAGAGCTGTCACTATCAGTGAAGCAAGCCATCATTAGGCTGAAAAAACAAAACAAACCCATCAGAGAGATATCAAAAACATTAGGCGTGGCCAAAACAACTGTTTGGAACATTCTTAAAAAGAAGGAACGCACCGGTGAGCTCAGCAACACCAAAAGACCCGGAAGACCACGGAAAACAACTGTGGTGGATGACCGAAGAATTATTTCCCTGGTGAAGAAAACACCCTTCACAACAGTTGGCCAGATCAAGAACACTCTCCAGGAGGTAGGTGTATGTGTGTCAAAGTCAACAATCAAGAGAAGACTTCACCAGAGTGAATACAGAGGGTTCACCACAAGATGTAAACCATTGGTGAGCCTCAAAAACAGGAAGGCCAGATTAGAGTTTGCCAAATGACATCTAAAAAAGCCTTCACAGTTCTGGAACAACATCCTATGGACAGATGAGACCAAGATCAACTTGTACCAGAGTGATGGGAAGAGAAGAGTATGGAAAAGGAAAGGTACTGCTCATGATCCTAAGCATACCACCTCATCAGTAAAGCATGGTGGTGGTAGTGTCATGGCGTGGGCATGTATGGCTGCCAATGGAACTGGTTCTCTTGCATTTATTGATAATGTGACTGCTGACAAAAGCAGCAGGATGAATTCTGAAGTGTTTTGGGAAATATTATCTGCTCATATTCAGCCAAATGCTTCAGAACTCATTGGACGCCGCTTCACAGTGCAGATGGACAATGACCCAAAGCATACTGCAAAAGCAACCAAAGAGTTTTTTAAGGGAAAGAAGTGGAATGTTATGCAATGGCCAAGTCAATCACCTGACCTGAATCCGATTGAGCATGCATTTCACTTGCTGAAGACAAAACTGAAGGGAAAATGCCCCAAGAACAAGCAGGAACTGAAGACAGTTGCAGTAGAGGCCTTGCAGAGCATCACCAGGGATGAAACCCAGCGTCTGGTGATGTCTATGCGTTCCAGACTTCAGGCTGTAATTGACTGCAAAGGATTTGCAACCAAGTATTAAAAAGTGAAAGTTTGATTTATGATTATTATTCTGTCCCATTACAGTTGTGGCCAAAATTATTCAACCCCCACTGAAATTGAGTGTTTTGGCCAGTTTGACATTGCTTTTGATCATTCAGTCATCTTGCTTACATTTACATTAAAGAGGCACTTGTAGGTCAGACAAATATAACATAACAGTTATAATGAAATAACCACAAATGTCTTTTCTGTGCTCACAGCATTATCAGTTTTATTCAACCCCCAAGTGACATTCAATCTTAGTACTTAGTACAGCATCCTTTTACAGTTATAACAGCTTTTAAACGTGAAGCATAGCTTGACACAAGTGTCTTGCAGCGATCTACGGGTATCTTCGCCCATTCTTCATGGGCAAAGGCCTCCAGTTCAGTCACATTCTTAGGCTTGCGCACTGCAACTGCTTTCTTTAAGTCCCACCAGAGGTTCTCAATCGGATTTAAGTCTGGTGACTGCGATGGCCACTCCAAAATGTTCCAGCCTTTCCTCTGCAACCATGCTCTAGTGGACTTGGAGGTATGCTTGGGATCATTGTCCTGTTGAAAGGTCCAACGTCTCCCCAAGCCTCAGGTGTGTGACGGACTGCATCACGTTTCCATCCAATATCTCCTGGTACTGAAGAGAATTCATGGTACCTTGCACACGCTGAAGCTTCCCTGTACCTGCAGAAGCAAAACAGCCCCAAAGCATGATTGACCCTCCACCATGCTTCACAGTAGGCAAGGTGTTCTTTTCATCATAGGCCTTGTTCTTCCTCCTCCAAACATAGCGTTGATCC